ACAGAATATTTAACAAACGTGTATTAAAAATCTATCTCACAAAATTTTTGAGGTTTGGGCGGTCACCAAATTTTAGTTTAGGTCGCTACCCATCATCTTATATATTTATTTTCTTCCTTTTATCATTATTTTCTTGTAATTACGTTCAATTTTTTGGACTTAAGGAAACGTTAAAAACATGAAATATCCCTACTAATAAATATCTTTTTCTTTCTCTCTATCTGTCAGTCCGTCTCCCTCACTCTCTCTGTTTCTTCCTTCTCCTTTCCTCTTCATCCATTTCTTAATTTTTTATTTTATTCTTTTACTTTTTACTGCCTTAACTGATATAAAACATGTCGATCTCTCTCTCTCTCTCTCGCTTTCTCTCTCTGTCTTTTCTCTACGTATCTGTATGTCTATCTATGCCTTTCTCTTTTCTCTATATTTTTTCTTACTTAATCGTAATAGTTTTTTTTTTATTCAGTCCTTACTTTTTATATTTTGGTCTTTCATTCTCTCTAAAACTAACATAAGAACTCCATTTCTCTCTCTCTCTCTCTCTCTCTTCCGCTCTCTCTCTCTCTTTTTCTCTCTCTCTTAATTATTTTTCTATTTAGTCCTCTTTTTGTATTCAGTTCTTACTTTTTACATTTTTTTCTTCTCTTCGGCCTAAATATGCATAAGAAATCCATCGTTCTCCCTCTCTCTCTTTCTCTCTTGCCTCCCTATCCCCCTCTTTATTATTTTTATTCAGTTCTTCCTTTTCACATTTTTTTTCTTCCTTCTGCCTAAATATGCACATTAAATCCAGCTCTCTCTACCACTCTATCCGTGTCTTAATTCCATTTTGTATTTAGTCCTTACTTTTTACAGTTTGTGCTTGCCTTCTGCCTAAAATGATCATAAGAAATCCAACTCTCTCTCTCTCTCTCTCTGTCTCTCTCTCTCTCTCTCTCTCTCTCTCTCTCTCTCTCTCTCTCTCTCCTTTCCACATTACGAGTCAGAGAGGTCCAAGACCTAATTTTGTGTGATGAAATAAATCTCCCTCCTTCTTACCTCTCTATTCCTCTTCTACTTCCTTTTTGATTCCCTCTTGAATGACTGAAGCAAACATCTCAGCTCCTCTTCTCCTCTCACCCTCACCACTTTTTCCTCATTATCATTTCCGTTTGTTTTGACATTCCAGCTTTAGTTTAGACTGTTTTGGTGTGTAAACCAACTAAAACCGTAAGATGGGCAGACCAACGAAGTAAAACTAAACAACGCGTTGGCTGACCAGTTCGATCGGAAATTATCAAAAAGGTCCATGACCAAACAGACCTCAAGAATAAATCTCACAACTACACTAATGATAATTTTTGATTAAAGACAGAGCGAAATTGTTAACAAGTAAAATATTTTCGCTTTTTAAAATTTTTTACGTTTTTCATATTCGAGGTAAGAGATTTCTGCAAGTGGTTGGTTCGTCACCAAATTCGAAGTTTAATATCATAAACATTATCAGGTTTCGATTCGTGTAAATATTTGAGGAAATCCAACGAATCTACACAAATTCACCACTTAAGAGGGCGAAATGCAAAATGTAGAAAAACAGCGATGATAGGCGGACCAGGACGATCATAAAACAATAAAAATGCAATCCTAAGATGATATACTTACTTCAAGCAAACATTTAATCTGATAAACTAGCGGTTGCAAAAATATCGACATGCTTTTTTTGGTAGATCCAACTTGAACTGGTAGCGTGTGGCAATTGGCAGGTCGTGATATATCACAGACGACGCAATGATGTGCAGAGAAGGTGAACTTTTTCGCAGGTTTCTTAAGCAGAAATAGAGTTAGCGAAATGCAGATTATCACTTGGCCCTGGTTGAATAATTGTGGATTTTCATGGAGAATTAAAATGTTGAAGTTCTGCTTCGAGTTTTGTACCCACTAAACGTTGGTCAAGAACCTTTCGAAACTGGCGAATTGAAAGGTCACAATTTCTTGATTTAAGTTCAGCTTGATAAGTAGCGGTCATCGAGACGAAAGGCGGGAGTAATAAATAAAAAATCTTAGGATCGTGAAAGAAGAAGTTTTCTCGTCGATGATTATTTAGTCACTTGCTACGGGCTTCGAAATGGTGACTAATGAGGTCAACTAGATTGTTTGGAAGCAACACGCGATCAAAAACCTGTCCGGCGTGTTTTTCATTTTTGTGAAAATATTTTGCCTTGAGCATAATTTTTTACATGAATTAATTTGCAGATGAAAAGACCTAATTCCTTGTAATATAATTGCATTTTTGGAATAATAATAAGGTTCGAATAGTTATATAAGGATCCAGAGGATTTTGTGGTTTCAAAGTTACAATTATTTGGCTTTTTCCCTAATCTAAAGCTAATTAGTGGATTTTAGATGTCGCTTTGTAAAACTGTGTTGGAAAAAAATAACTAAGAACGACGACCAAGAGGAGAAATGAAAATTAAATTTATCTTCTCCCTCTCTCTCTCTCTCACACACACACACACACACACACACACACACACACACATATATATATATATATATATATATATATATCACGACCTTATCTTCTCTCTTTTCTTTCTTTCTGCCTCCAAAACTGTCTCTCCCTCTTCCTTCTCACTCTCCCTTTTTCCTCTCTAACATTTTTTCTCTTTATTTTGTATTTCATTATTTAATTTCTACATTTCATTCTTAGTTTTGACCCAAAACAGACCTAAGAAATTCAACTCTCACTCTCACTCACTATTGTATATCTATCACTTCATTACAATTTTTTTTATTCAGTCCTTATTTTCTACACTTCGTTCATGACTCCATCCTTAAATGTACCTTTCTCGTTTTTCCTCTTTTCCTTAAACTCTCCCCTGACCACTTTTTTCTCAGGTTTTACATTCATCTATATCTATCTTCCATTACCTTTTCCTATCTGTTTTCCCCATTATATACTTTTCTACTGCTTAGTTTTTAATTTCTTTTATCCTTGTATTTTTATTTCTTTTAACACCTTCATCAATTTTTTGGCAGTACGAAAATTCCCTTTCTATCTCTCTCTATCTCGGTCTCTCTCCCCCCTCTCTCATTCTCTTACACACACAAACACACACATATCACTCTCCCTTTTTCCTCTCTAACATTTTTTCTCTTTATTTTGTATTTCATTCTTTAATTTCTACATTTCATTCGTAGTTTTGACACAAAACAGACATAAGAAATCCAACTCTCATTCTCACTCAGTATTGTATATCTATCAATTCATTACTTTTTTTTTATTCAGTCCTTATTTTCTACACTTCGTTCATGACTCCGTCCTTAAATGTAACTTTCTCGTTTTTCCTCCTTTCCTTAAACTCTCCCCTGACCACTTTTTCTCTCAGGTTTTACATTCATCCCTATCTATCTTCCATTACCTTTTCCTATCTGTTTTCCCTATTATATACTTTTCTACTGGTTATTTTTTAATTTCTTTTTTCCTTGTATTTTTATTTCTTTTGACCTTCATCAATTTTTTGGCAGTACGAAAATTCCCTTTCTATCTCTCTCTTTCTCTCTCTCTCTCTCTCTCTCTCTCTCTCTCTCTCTCTCTCACACACACACACACACACCACACACACACACACAACTTAAAGTTTATTTTAAGAGCTCAATTAATTATACACAATTTTTTCGAAATGAAAAATTTGTATCAGAGGCGGGATTCGAACCCACGACCCTCGGCTAATACGCCGCTGCTCTACCACTTGAGCAACCGTGACTTCGATCGCCCATACCACAAACTTCCCATTTTATTTTAAGAGCAATACACTAGTCACTAATATAATGCAAATGATATTTCTATACAAATGTATATTTTTATAATTTATTAATAAATTGTAAGACATCCCGACCAATTATTGTATAAATATCATGTTTCAAATTGTGCCTAATTATTTTGTAAATGCACAAGTAATCACCTGCAGTCAGAAATGGGAGCAGGTGGAAATAAACTCCCTGTCTCCAGGGTTACTGCGAACAGGAAATACACACACACACACACACACACACACACATTTTTAATTGCGTCGTTAGGTAAAGTGTGTGCATTTCTCCTTTTTTTTCTTTCTTTGCTTAAGTTTGTAATACTTAGTTTCTCATTTTATTTGTTCTTTTTTTTCGGTTGTCCAAAGAAATAGAAAACCAGAAATACCCCTTTACTTTTCAATTTTCTTTCTCCCCTCCATCTCATAAATTTATTTATCTACTTCTGTATTTATCTACAGATATATCCACCTCCACCTGTAGTTTATTCATTTCACATCTTTATGATTAGTTAGTTTTAGTATTTTAAATTTATTTCCCATTGAAAAATTTAAGATAATATGTGAATACGTTTAAAATTTAAAGTACGTTGGCATGATCCTAGATTATTTTAGGAAAAAAAAACAATAATTTGCGACTAATCAATTTTATGGTATACAGATAGTAGTAATTTCTTTACACTAAATCATTATTGTCTTGGAAAGAAATCAATTTTTACATTTGTATTGTCTGTATTAATTATAAGTAGTACTTTGCGCACTTTTTTCTCCTTCCTGCATCAGGCAATCATTGCGAAGTATTGCTGTATTTACTCAATTAATTATATACAATGTTTTCGAAATGAAAGCCGAAAGTGGTGGGTTCGAATCCCGCCTGTGACACAAATTTTTCATTTCGAAAAATTGTGTATAATTAATTGAGTATGTACATAATTATTAAGTAGAAGCTTATAAAATAATTAAAAATTTAGTATTAGTGTTTTTATTAAAAGACTGGGAGCCAATCTCTCAGCAGCACACCTAAGAAACAGGAAACAGCGGAGGCAAAGAAAAAAAGTTTTGTTTTGAAAGACCAGTCGTGATGCCCTTGAGAGGATGACGGGCAAGTTTGGAACACGAATTCCTCACTTCTCGCCTCTCTCGACCCATCGAATCCGGACATGTAGTACTGGCTATAATTAGTAACTACTACAGGGAGGGCTTTTAAACTTTACGCTCCTTCGCTTTTGAGTCTAATGTCAATTGTTTTGCCGCCGGGTCAATCGAGGATTTCGATTTTTAAAACACTCAGACTAAGGTTAAGTATAAAAAAATGACATATCTGATCATCCTGGCAGGTATTGTTTTGTGCCTATTTATAGAACGCAGGAGTCAACGATCTCTTGGAAGGGAATGGGTCTAAAATAAAGAGAAAAACGTAATACAAGCGCTTGAAGGCCGAAAGCAGTACACCACAGCCTCAGAATCGCTAATTTGAAAGAAGGACACAGTTTTGAATTAAAACAAGCCAAATAAATCGCGTGGACCGTTAAAAATACTGAACAAACATCAAAGGTAAACGAACCGATTTTCTTTTAACATAACAAAGAGGACAGGAACAAAGGCCTTAACTACACATGAATTGACTATTAATATTCAAATAAAATCTGTACGACTTTTGAACGACCCTGCGTGAAATTAATGGCCGGTCACGTACGTCATAAAAGGATTCTGTTTTAGTTGACATTTTTATATATATTTCTCTCCCTGCTGCATATTCATTATGCTGGTATGATTATTATAAAAACACATACTCAAAAGCTTGCGCTAGTAATGAAAATTTAGGAAAAATTTTGTGAAAAAACTTGTATATAAGAGAATATCGCATCATGGTCATTATCTGTTGGGCTTTTGTAATTAAAATAATTAATTCTGTGCTCGATTACACAACTGTAATTCTTCTCTGTGGAAATAGTTTATGATGGAATCTTTCTCTTTGTCGTTTCGAGATATTGCATTTAACTAAATTACACGAAATAACTGTAATTTTCCTTTTTTAAAGAATTTTATTACATCACAAATGCCTATATGGAAATGTAGAGTTGTTCACAGATTGGATATTATGATCAGAGAAAATCAAAATGAAAATCAACCTTTTGCTATTTGTAGCAATATAAGGTCCTCATGAAATTCTATTCATTTCTAGAGGTTTTATTTAACAAATAAATCTAAACAGTAGAAGAATAGAATTTAAATTATAATTTTTTTGTTTAAAAGACTAGAAATAAATCTAAAATTGTATGTAACATTCGGAATAAATTAATAATTCTACGGTCAATGATGAAATAATGGTGCGATGAAATAATTTGCTGTATTATTTCTAAAGATTGCATTTTACGAAGAAAAAAAAATCAAAACAGTAAAATACTAGATTGTAAATTATTATTACTTTTATTTAGATCGGTAGGTACAAATTTGCTTTAAAATCTGATATCAACATTTGATAATAAATATAATAAGTATATCTGCTAATGAATAAGACCAATGGTTTTTTTTATTGTTGTGATGGTGTTTTTAGTGTTCTGATGAAACCCTTCTCGTTGATATTTTATTGATTAAAAAAAAATAAAGCAGTGGAAAGCTATATTTTAAATATTTAAAAAAATTCGAACAATCTTTAGAAATATATCTAGATTTTAATATTTTTAAATCTGATATTAGCATTTAGAATAACCGTATAATTGTAAGAATAATGAAATTTATTTCTAAAGATTGTATTTTAGAAATTAAAAAAATATTTAAAAAATATGACGCTTCAATTCTGATCGTTGATAACTGATAACAAACTATCAAATATGATGAAAGTTTACTTTTGTGTTATTTGCTGTGAAATAAGGCTATGATAAAATATTTCGTTCAGTTATTACTAGGGATTGTATTTGACAAAAAAATTAGTTCAACGCCGATTTTCTAAAATAGACTTTTATTTCATTTATCTGTAGAAATAAATCGTGATTTCCCTGCTAAAAAGTCTACTTTTTGCACTTAGCAATAAAATAACGTTACGTTAAAATATTTTGTTCTATCATTTCTAGGAGTTGTTTTTAACATATCAAGACTTAGAAAGCTACATTTTTAAATTTGAATTTTATTTTACCAGGCTGTAGAAACATAATCTCTGGAATTCTTATTGTTGATTCGGAATAAACAGAATTATATAAAAGTCAACTTTTGTGCTTTGATAAAATACTTCATATGTTATTTCTAAGGATTGCATTTTAGAAATTAAAAGAATACAAAAAAATAGGACGCTGGTTTCTAAAAAAAGTCTTTTATTTCGCCAAGCTGTAGAAATAAATCGCCAATTCTGATTGTTGATAACTCATAACAAACTATCAAATATGATGAAAGTCTACGTTTGTGTTATTTGCTGTGAAATAAGACGATGATAAAATATTACGTTCAGTTATTACTAGGGATTGCATTTGACAAAAAAAATTAAAAGAAGTTTAACGCCGATTTTCTAAAATAGATTTTTATTTCATTTGTCTGTAGAAATAAATCTCGATTTCCCTATTATAAATAGACTACTTTTTGCACTTAGCAATGAAATAACGTTATGTTAAAATATTTTGTCCTATTATTTCTAAGGGTTGTATTTAACATATCAAGACTTAGGAAGCTACATTTTTAAATTTGAATTTTATTTCACCAGACTGTAGAAATATAATCTCTCGAATTCTTATTGTTGATTCGGAATAAACAGAATTATATAAAAGCCAACTTTTGTGCTTCGATAAAATTCTTCATAACGTTATTTCTAAGGATTGTATTTAATAATTATTTTAAAAGTTACTTTGTGCTTTTTGCTGTGAAATTAGGTTACGATGAAATGCTTAGCTGAATTATTTAAAGCGGTTGTATTCTGACAAAACTTAGAACATTACATATTATTTCTAAAATCTGTATAACTAAATCGTAAATATTTCAAAAGTATAGTCTTTGTTCATTGTTGTGAAATATTACGTTATGGCGAAATTTCTAGTGATTGTATTTGAAACAAATTAAAAACGCCGATTTTCAATCAGTTTTAGATTTGTTTAAGGTAATAAATCTTTTTAAATAAATCTAAAACTTTTGACAAACTCAGAGACAACTCTAATAATAAAGATCCTTGGATTTACAAACAGATGTATACTTTCTCTTTTTCTGTGATATAAAATTTTGATGAACTCCATGTTTTTTACTATTCAATATTTAACAAAACCACAAATGATGTCTTTACCTTTTGTCTGTTGTTTGTAGAATATACAATTTTTGTGTTATGTTTGTAATTTGGCTGGCTAGAAAACAAAATATTTGTGCTTTGTCTATTATTGGGTTGTCCGGAAAATAATGCAGGATTTTAAGTTTTCATTAAAAAAAATCTATATAAAATATTCTGTTTACGTTTACAGGATTACTCATTNATGGGAAATTATTTTGATTAAAGAACATTGCTTTAAAGTAACTAGTTTCTTTTTTTTTGTTTAATACCAAAATCCTGCATTATTTTCCGGACAACCCAATAATTATAAAATCTACCCAAGTGCAATGTATCTTTAATATCCGAACTATGAAACATTTTATCTATTTAATACTTTTGCTAAGATGTTAATTGTAAATGAAACATGATACAATCATCATCATCTCATCTTTAACATCATCTCATCCATGATAGAATTCTCTAGATGAGCCCGGTCTGGAATTGAAAATGACATAAATCTAAACGTTATTTCACTGCTAAGTGCAAGTAGACTTATTATCAGGGAAATCACGGTTTATTTCTATAGATAAATGAAATAAAAGTCTATTTTAGAAAATCGGCGTTGAAATTTTTTAAATTTTTTTTGTCAAATGCAATATCTAGTAATAACTGAACGAAATATGTTGTCATAGCGTTATTTCACAGCAAACAACACAAAAGTAAACTTTCATCATATTTGATAGTTTATTATGAGTTATCAACAAGCCAAATTGGTGATTTATTTCTACAGCTTGGAAAAATAAAAGACTTTTTTTAGAAACCAGCGTCCTATTTTTTATATATTTTTTTAATTTCTAAAGTACAATCCTTAGAAATAACATTATGAAGTATTTTATCAAAGCACAAAAGTTGGCTTTTATATAATTCTGTTTATTCCGAGTCAACAATAAGAATTTGAAAGATTATATTTCTACAATCTGATAAAATAAAATTCAAATTTAAAAATGTAGCTTTCTGATATGTTAAATACAACCCTTAGAAATAATACAACAAAATGGGTGGTGATTAGTGACCGTTAATCGATAATTATTCAGAAATCATGAGATACGGTCTGGTGTGATGTAGGTTTCAGAAAAATATTTTCTTTATCGTGCCAACGTTCCGATCTTTATTGAGATCATCTTCAGGGCTCAAAGTGTTTGTCTTCTGTGTAATTGTGCCATTCTTGCATTTGGGCACTCTCAACACGACACGCAAGAATGGCACAATTAAACAGAAGACAAACACTTTGAGCCCTGAAGATGATCTCAGTAAAGATCGAAACGTTGGCACGATAAAGAAAATGTTTTTCTGAAATCTACATCACACCAGACCGCATCTCATGATTTCTGAATAATTATAGAACAAAATATTTTAACTTAACATTATTTCATTGCTAAGTGCAATAAGTAGGCTTTTTATCAGGGAAATCACCATTTATTTCTACAGATAAATGAAATAAATATCTATTTTAGAAAATCGGCGTTAAACTTAAAAAAAAATTTTTTTTTCAAATACAATCCCTAGTAATAACTGAACGAAATATTTTATCATCGTCTTATTTCACAGCAAATAACACAAAAGTAGACTTCCATTATATTTGATAGTTTATTATGAGTTATCAACAATCAGAATTGAAGCGTCCTATTTTTTAATATTTTTTGTAATTTCTAAAATACAATCTTTAGAAATAAAGTTCATTATTCTTACATTCAATTTCATTATTCGTTATTCTAAATGTTAATATCCGAACTATGAAACATTTTATCTATTTAATACTTTTGCTAAGGTGTAATTGTAAATTAAACATGATAGAATCATCATCATCTCATCTTTAACAACATCTCATCCATGATAGAATTCTCTAGATGATCTCGGTCTGGAATTGAAGACGACATAAATCTACATGTATAAACAACACCCGTAATTTTTTCACGGAGTTTCCCAAGACAGTAGCACATACTGGGGTCAACGTGACTTTAATTGGCATGCCATAAAGTCCGTTTTATAAGAATTCCTCTTCCCTGTGAACCGACTTGTAAAGGCAATTAACGTTAATGTAACGGGTCCGCCTACTCTCATTGTTATTGTTCTAGACATCCAGTTTTATTTTTTTTAAACGTGTTTGTCACTCCTTGCATGTCCACAAATTAAACGATGATCGGGAGAAGAGAATTCTTTTGTTTAAACTCGGAAATGTAGGCTACTGGGATTGTTTTTGTTTTAAATCGTGAAAATTCGAGACAACCGGTTTCCGACGGACCGTCTGGGCATTTTTAATCCTGAGAAT